TTTTATGGGCTCTAAAAGGGGGGGTTTGATTTCCAGACTTCGTTTTTTTCTTTTTTTGGCTCTGAGAAATAGAACTTGAAATGTGAAATTCGAATATTGTGGTGCATCTGACACGAACGCTTCCGCTTCTGTCGGATGGCCTGCTAAAGGCATCATGAGATACATCGCGAGGAATGTATCCCAATACCCGTTACTTGTTCATCCTCGTGAATGTGTTCGTGGACACATTTTATTGCCACGGTACATAATTATGAAGACTTATGTGAAGGAGATCGTACCAACCCATGAATTGGGGTGCACAGCTATTCTTCATAGTTTTACGTGCTATTTCAATTCATTTTAAATCAGAAAAAGATCCATTTATGCAAATAAAAAATCACTTTGTATTTTCCAAAAAAACATAAAACTGTGTCACACGTCGTAGAGTCCTTCGCGAGTGGGTCCAGGCCCCAGGCAAATGTTGTTCAGTTCATTTTCTCCATAACATGTTTTTTTTTTTTGGAATTTTTTGAAAACTTTCTTTTTTTTTTTTTTTTTTTTTTTGGGTCCGCGTTCGGCCCGAACGGCCGAACGCCTTCCGAAGGGGTCCCGTACGTTCAGGCGTTCGGGTTCGGGCGTTTGGCCCATCCCGAAAGTCGGCAACCCTGTATATATATACATATATATCATCAAACAGAACTGCCCGGTAAACCGTAGGCAGATTGGGAGAAGAGGACAACAAACGAGAGGCTGCGACANTTTTTTTTTTTTTTTTTTTTTGGTCCGCGTTCGGCCTGAACGGCCAAACGCCTTCCGAAGGGATCCCGTACGTTCGGGCGTTCGGGTTCAGGCGTTCGGCCCGTCCCGAACGCCGGTAACCCTGATAATAATAATAATAATAAATCCAAAAAATGATTTAAATATCTGAAAAAAACATGTTATGCAGAAGAATAAGCTGAAGAACATTTACTACAACCAAATTCTTTACCAAATTTGAAACAAAAATAAAATACTAAAAATAAATAATAATAATCAAAATTAGAAGAAAAAACGAGAATGAAATTATTGAGTGGGTGAGCACGTTTTTGACACCACCATCTTCGGCGACTTTTCTTTTTTTTTGGCTGTGACAAATGCCATGAAAATTTATACATGTATATCTTACATAATAGAGAATCTAGTATCTACAAATGAAGTTTGCTTTTTTTTTTTTTCATGCCCCGAAATAAAGGAAAAACAAAAAGTGAAAAGAGAGAAAAAACAAATTAGTGAGTGGGCAAGCAAGTTTTGACGCGACCATCTTTGCCGATTTTTCTTTTTTTTTTTGGCTGAACAGAATGCCTTCAAAATTATTAAGTGGGAGCTACTTACATGACAAAGAGCTCACAAAAAAGAATTCAGAAAAAAATAAAAATATTTAGGTGCCAAAATATTTTTTGCAGGGTCCAAACCCCTTCAGGTTCAGAGCCCGTACGGGGACCCGAACGCCCGAACGTTCGGGGGCCAGCTTAGGGGCAGCAATTTGTCGGATTGTTCATTTTTGCCAGGGCTCCACAAATGCTACTGGTAGGCCTCATGAACCAGCGCTACCGGTCCCCCGACTTTGACATCGTTGGGTAGAGTGGTGGTTTAAGGGGAGAAGGTCGGCCCTGGACTGTGGGAGGGTGCCTCTATTCTTCCCGTTCCTTTTTGTGGTCTGAACAACTCAACCCAGCCCTTTTTTTCCTCCACCCGTCACCCGCAGACCAAATGCTCACCCACCCATCACCCACCCGTCACCCGCAGACCAAATGCTCACCCACCCGTCACCCGCAGACCAAATGCTCACCCACCCGTCACCCGCAGACCAAATGCTCACCCACCCGTCACCCACCCGTCACACGCAGACCAAATGCTCACCCACCCATCACCCGCAAAGGCCGACTAGCTATCCGGTGTCCCACCAAAGCCACAACTTAGATAGACCCAGACCCAACCCCACCATCTTGTGGGTTGGGTGGGTGCAAGTGGGTGCAGCACCCTGTGCCCACCTCTGAGCAGCAGTACGAAATTTGCCGGTGGGAGATGCACAACTCCATCATACTGCCGCAAGCTAGGGCAGGCCAAGGCAACTACAAAAAAAAAAAAAAAACAGTGCCCATCGAGGGCGAATAGGAATTGCAGAAGTGGAGGAGAGTGGAGGAGAGTGGGGGAAACAGTGGTGGAAACAAGTGCAGGAGTAGAGGAGAGTAGTGGAAACAAAGACGTGGCAAGGAGAGGGAAGCTAGGGTGGGGACCACCCAGGAGTCCAATCCATCAAAAATGTTAAAAGTTAGAACCCGTTAAAAAAAAAAAAAAAAAAAAAAAAAAGAAGAAGAAGAAGAAGTTAGACCCCCTAGAGGAAAGCACAAGATCAGAACCGTGGTGCCGATTGATGGATAGATGTGCTATATGCATAACAACAAAACAGGATAAGAGAAGGAATTACAACATTATAATGAATTGAAAGACAAGTGGTATGGCTGGCTGTTGGATGGCAATGATCGTTTGGATAAAGCACAGGACTAACGGTTGCTCTTCCATAAATGGACTGAAATCCCCAGCAACATCCCACTCCCCGTGGTCCCTGAGTTCCCTGATCTTTTCCCCCCATCAAACAATACCTTGGGCGAGCTGAGCTGGTATGGCCGAGACACCGAGGAGCCCGCCCACCACAATCCTGGTGGGACCTGTCAGGATGGAGATAGGGAATAGGAGGATTAGGTGTCTGCCCCACCCGCCCCCTGGACACAGAACCGGCCTTCCTACCCCCCCCCCCCCCCCCCC